CACACACACACACACACACACACACACACACACACTTCAAACGACAAAAACCAGCAACCGACGAACCAACACACACGTGCGCACGTACACACACACACACACACACACGCAAACAAAATCTGCTTTTCAACATGCAGCTTGTGATTATTTGAAAGCTCAACAGGATCACACGTCCCGCAATAAGGAAGAAGTCTGAGGAACCAATTTTCCATATGGAACTATGGGATGATTGGACAGGGCCTCAACTTCCGAGAAAGAACTTGTAGAATCAATTCTACATTGACTGAACGGTACCCCAAACCGACACAGGTGAGCAGGTAGAGTATGTACAAAGGTGCTTAAGATCACCATGTTGAAAGAAATCGCAGTCTTGGAAAAAACCAATATTACAATGGAAGCACCTATCTCTGTCATATAAAAAAAACCTCGGTAGATCTGAATTTCCTGATCCAATAACAGTGCCTTAAGTTCCATCCTGGAGGTCTGAGTCTTGTTGACTTTGACTCCGCTTCCGTCTCCACCCGGCAGCAGGAGCTGGAGGTGATTTTCCCGGCTTGTTCGCCAAGCTGAGTTGATAAATGGTAATTTTTTATTATTTTTACTAATTTTCAATTTGGAAAGTTTGTCTATTCAGAACACTGAAAATTCAAAATAGGCAGAAAGTCCATGTCAAGTTGGAAAACTCATTTGTGCTCTCGTACCTCGACACCCTCGATTACTAGCGGAAGATCGCCTAAAGTCATCTCCGTGAAGTCAATACGCAGTCCACCTGGTAGCATTTTTGATACCCCCTGCAGGGCACAAAAGTCACACAGCACAATGCGCTTCAACATTACCATTTACCCTGAAGCGGGTCCAAGTCCACACACACACACACACACACACACACACACACACACACACACACACACACACACATATGTATCTATGCCTCCTGTTCTTCCCCTCCTCCAGGATATTTTCTTTAAATTGTCTAGTTGCGTGTGCTTTGCCAGTTCCTTTCTTCTGTGTGTCCTAGTTGCAGCACCTTCAAGATGTGCCAAATAGTGCGCTCCTGCTTGTCCCTTTCTTCTTTGTGTCTGAATGTAGCACCTTTAAGACGAGCCAAATAGCCAGTGCCTGCTTGTTCCTTTCTCCTCTGTGTCTAAGTGCAGCACCTTCAAGAAGTGCCAAATAGAGAGTGCCTGCTCGTTACGAGTGCCTTCAACACTATCAGGGGTGCGCTTCTGTGTTCGGGATATATAATATATATCTGTTTACTTCTTCAGTGATGACGACAGACGTTCGCCAAAGTGACTCCCTGGCTCTGATGGTGGTGTAAACCTACAGTTTGTGGAGTTGTATAGTCTGCTGCATGCATTGGCTGCGTTGTTGGCGCTGCCTGGCTGCCTAGCTGCCGATCCCTTTGCCTCATGTCCTTGCCTTTTTGCATGTCCACCCCCCCCCCCCCCTCTCCCCTCCCCCCCTTCTAAGCCCTAAACCCTTCACTCACCTGCTCCCTGCTTTCCCTTGCCCATCTATCTGGCTTATGCTGTCATCTTGCTTGCCAGCTTCTCTTATATGCTTGCTTACTTGGTTGGCTTGCTGATTGCCTGGCTGAGATTGCCCCACTGCTTGCAGTACACTGCCTGCGTGCTACTTGGCTCCCCGGTTCATTGTCTGCCTCTGTGCCAGCTTGCCTGCCCGTCCGCGCTCTGCTTTGCTGCTACCTCCTTTGCCTTGCTGTGTGCGCTGTCACATGCCTCTTTGTCCGCTCTCAATGGGTACTGAAGTCGACGACGACTCACTCAGGGAAAAGGGAAAAAAAAAAAAGAAAAAAAAAAAGAACAAGGAAAGAAACTTCAATATTGAGATCCAGGAGACTGTCGATGCTTCAGCCTTCTGATTGATGAATTGGTGAAAGTCTGACAAAACGACAAAAACGTCTGTCGGAACCGTTTCTGTCTTATTCAAACAGTTGTTTCTGTCTGCAAAGAATTTTTTTTTTTCTAGATTATTTCTCGATTTATGACTGCCATCCTTGCGCAGGGGCCATGCTAATCTATTTTCTCTGTATCAATCCAATTTTCATGGATTTCCGCAAAAAAAAAAAAAAAAAAAAAAAGGAGAAAGAAAAAGAAACACATAAAAGAAAATGGTTAAGGTGAGTTGGTACACCTGTGGGAAAACAAAACAAAACAAAACAAAACAAAAATTACAGACCCAAGTTCGAATCCAGATACTGTCAGATGAACAGAATAAAATCATTCCGAATTAATATCTAGGGCCGTTCAGTTCAATGATGATATCTCAAGGCCGTCGCCTTTTTTTTTTTTTTTTTAAGAATGACATCCGACACAGTCTCCACCTTCATTAGAGGGCTCCAACATCCCCCATTTGCTAACGAGCATATTCCTCCTTGTCCCAAATTGAACAAACGTAAACAGGCGGGAAACCGACTTTCCAAGAAAAAAAGGATGGCAGGCTCCTGCTAGCTGAGTTTCATCCAAACGGAGAAAAAAATGAAGGGAAAAAAAAAACAAGAGAACATACAACGTTCCCCAGCATACGTCATGATCCTAGAACATTCGCATTTTTTTAACTTGTGCGACGCACAAGGCCTCGATAAGCCCTATTGGGCCCCTATTTGCAACAGCGTCGGCCGCCCTAAGTGAAGGCAGGCTCGACAAACAACAAGAGGCCTATTTTGGACTACTTCGCAACTGGGGAAAATTTCAGGCAGTTGCGCAGCGCCAGTTGGTTGAAGGCGCCCAGGCCCTGGCCTCCTTTAGCAAATGTATCTAATTCAGGCCCTGGGCGAGAAACGCAGCATAAGCCCAACTCAGGCTGCGAGCAGTTGGGCACGGGTAACTGTCGGTGGCCCAGGGCCTGATTCGTTTGGACTGAGGCTCAGCCTCCCTGGGCCTACCGGAAGCTTCTGGGCAGGGACCCAGCGCAGCCAGGCTGCACGCGAGGCAGGCAGGCCACTTCCATTTAGGAAAGGGCCTGCCCACGCATACGGCATTCGGGCACTGGCTGCACGCTGCGCAAGCGCTGCTGCGCTAACGCTGGCCAGGCTCACGCGCTCACGGGCGAGCTGGAAGGAGCAGGCAGCCATAGCCGAGCTGTGCTGCTGTATGCTGGATAGGGCGCATGGTGGTCCTTGGGTGCAAGTGGCATCTGTGAGTTGCGGAACGAGGTTGTGAGTGATATGAGAGACATACCTGGTGCTTGACGCGTGCGGCATTGGCCGAGATCTGCTCGTACTTGGGAAGCTGTTGACGTCATCAGCGGCATTGTAGTCTAGGCTAGATAGGATCCGCCATTCGTAGTCTGGGCGCCGAGCGCCAGTGTGGCATACTGCGTAGCCACACGGGCCTACAGGGCCCGTCCCGCATTCTCAGCCTAAAAGCCTAGAAATAAGGGTTTACAGACCCCTGTCGTTTCAGCCTGAAAGACTGAAAAACGAGGGCCTGCAGGCCCTATGTCGTTTCAGCCTAAAACAGGGCTTTTCAGCCTGAAACGGAGGGCCACTTTCGGGCCCTCATAAGATCGACCTGTCCTAACACTCAGGCACAAAACCAAGGTTTTCGGAACAGGCTATCTTTAGCCTGTTCCCACGACAGCTTCAAGCAGGAGCTGCAGCGGCAGCCCCTGACTCCCGTCGGCATTGGCAACAGCAGCCTCCTGGACTGCCTCGCCCTGCAGTCAGGAGGCAGGCCGAGAAGTACATAGGGAGTTCCCATGCACTTCACGGGCAGGTAGTTGGACATTAGGCACGAGTAGTCTTCAGGATTCGGCCGCAGCACTCAGGAGGAGCGCTGCAGTAGTATTAGCGCTAGCAGTAGTCTTCAGCGCTGGACGCTAATAGCTGCTGGAGTAGTCTTCAGCACAGGGCGCTAGTAGCTGGTAGCAGTAGCGTTGGAGAGAGATGGCTGGCGGAGGCCAGCGGTACTTACCTGTGGCGCCATAGCTCCAGCTCCAGCTCCATCTTCGAGGTACCTGCATCAAGGCGCCGTCTTCACAGGTTAGTACTGGACACAGAGAGAGAGAGAGAGAGTTCTTCTTCTTCCTCTTCTAAGTCCACCATCTCTTCTTCACCCTCTCACCACCTGACTTCTCAGTATCAGCAGACTACGACAGAGAGAGAGAGAGTTGTGACTTGAGACTTGACGACATTGGATCCAGACTCGACATTGGGATTCAGACATTTTGACGAGGGACTATTTGGGCCTGTGCCGAAGACTTGGTGTTGACGACATTCCCATCTTCCCCTCTTCTTCGTCTTACCCCCCTCTTCTTCGTCTGTGTATGGTTGGGGCTGGCGCATTCTTCCTGTGTGAGCGCCAGACCCCTTCACACCATGGAATGATGATGATGATGKATGTTCGGGGCTGCATTGCAATATTGATTGTTCGGATCATTGGTATCTAAGTCTTCCGCTACGCTATCTTGTACTTTGTATTGAGAGGTCGGTTCTTGTTCTGGTCTGCACAGTTACAGTATGCAACAGCCAGATAGGATACCAACATTGGTTCCTCGTTGATGATGATGAGACTATTCCAGCATTGTCAATTATGAGCTTTTGGTGTGCTCTTATTTGGTGAAACTCGTGATGCAGTTCTGGTATTGGTTCGAGGTCACGACTATCTGGTCTCATGTGTATGATGCTTTTTTATTGCTGAAGCTATTGCTCATCTTCCTTGCACTTGGCAGGAAGTTTATAAATTAATACTACATTACTAGTTAATGTTGCATCAGTCAGTGCTAAGGAATAGCAGGGGGTGGTACTAAGGTCTTGTCTTGTTTTTGTTTTTTTTTTACCATTTGGTCCATTTCTCGATTTATGTGTCTCATCCTTTCGCAGAGGCCATGCTAATCTTCTTTGTCTGTATCGTTGCAATTTTAACGGATGTCCCAAAGGACAGTGGGGTACTTAGCTATTGTTTCTCCTGCCTTTGATTTTAATGTTCATCTTTTTTTTTTTTTTTATCAAAAGGCTGCTAAGGACTATTCGGAGAAGTGCTAAGAGCTCCCTCTCCTAATAAAACATTTATGCTGCCACTCCATTGATTGGCAGGGAGCTGCACCTGCTGGAAACCGGGCCAAGGTCCCATATGAATAAGGAGTATGAAAATACAGTTGTGGTAATCTCGGAGGCTTTAATGTTCACGTAAAAAAAGCACAACCTCAGGATCTCAGATAGGCATTTTAGCATTTTCCTGTATTGGCCATTACTACCGTCTTCCCCCGAATAGAACACACGTCGAAGTTGCAGTCAGAGGCATCCAGGTCTGGACATAAATGAGGTCAGATACATTTAAGATCGCGCTAGTGTGAGTATGCCCTGAGTCTTTTGAGAGACACATTCCTTGCTCAAAAGGTCCGTGAAAAACGTCAATGATGATGTCAACACATACATGACACCAAGGAACAATAACCCAAGATCAAACTGTTGGCAGGAAACACTCAGTATTACCTACTCCATCCACAGAGAGAGAGAGAGAGAGAGAGAGAGAGAGAGAGAGAGAGAGAGAGAGAGAGAGAGAGAGAGAGAGAGAGAGAG